CCTCTGAAATCCTGTCTTTCACAGAAACAACAAAGTAATTCTGTTTGCTTTTCCCACCCCTCTGGTTAATTCCATTGTATTTTTGATCCTTCAAACCATGAGAGAGCATTAGCAGTCTGTTTAATTTTCCCAGATAGGAAATTAACCAAAATTAATTTAGCAGCAAAGATAAAACCCACTGAGTCATTCTATAATTTTTGCCTTTCATAGATCATAAACACCCCAATTGAGGATAATTTACTATCCCTGGGAAATCTAAACCTACCAAATAATGTTTTAGAGCAAGATGTAAAACCCAATTTTATAGGCAGACATCCTTCTCTTTTCCACCAGCATGGCAGAGTCCTCCTCCCCTCGATTAACTCTGTCTCTTTACAGAGAAACTCAGATCTGTTCCTCCAGCAGATGTATTTTCTGGTTTTCTAAACTGGAGTATGGGAATGCCTCAGAGCTTATGGAGGTATGCGAGAGAGATACAGAGCCATGGAGTCATTCATGAGTCGTCTTATGCAGTGTTGTTTAACTCAGATATTTGGTTAAATATAGAGGGAGTCAAAAAAAAAGTATACACCTTTTAAGAAATGTTATCTATGTATAACTTTTCAAAGTTGAATTAAATTACTACTGTAGCAACGTGTAGTATGAAGTTCACTCAACTGCACTTCCACCATTTTCTTTGATTGTCCTGCCTGTTGCATGGTAATGCTAGCATTCGTTTAACACCATATTTTGAGCAAATGCCATACTTAAAATGTGCATACCTTTTTTTTTGGCACCCCCTGTAAATATTTAGCCAGTTAAAAGCTTCTGTCACCGGTACCCAGAAGTAAAATAGACACAATCATGTTCATGTTGTTCAGTCTCACACTTTTATTCTTGAGCACATAGAAAGGGGAGCATGGTTATGTAGAGTGGCTAACCGGGAAAATTACCTCTACTGCTTTGAGAAGACTTTATGCTAATACCCCTAGCTGATGTGAGCCTCTAGCATGGCAGTAGGCAAATGGCCTGTCTTGGTGCAACCCATGAGCTAAGATTGGTTTTTAAAGGGTTGTAAACAGCAAGAATATATGACAGAGATGTTTATGACCCACAAAGACTCAATTGTTTTGTTTCTGGCCCTTTCACAGAGAAAGTTCATGAACCCATGCTCTAAAGGGATTTCTCACTGAGGCCTGAAAACTTACTACTTTCAAAAATAAGTTAGTCATCTTGCTGGTGGTTTGTTTTCTCTCTTATGCACATGTGAGTGCATGCACGCGCTCATGCACACCCATGACATAAATCTCAGAATTAATATGCCTTCTTATCACAGTTCCTAATCCTACCACAGACAGTTGTCCCATTGAACAACAATGAAAATTCTAGATTTGTGTGATTCCATGTTCTTCACTTGAATATAAATTTTTAATTTGTTTAATGTTTTAAGTGTAAAAATGTTTAAATTCACTTTCATCTAGGTTAATGGTTAAAGCAAGCAGTTTACGAAGTATGAACTCAAACCTGGTAAAGATTCTTAAGCAAGTGAGGGAAAATTCAAACAACCTGAAGTGGTGGAAGCTGCTGGCAAACTAGAATTTCTCTGAGACTTTCCACAAGGGAGGAATAAAAATTCAAACTAAGACACAGAGGCAAACAGAAAACCACAAGATGTCCACAGAGGTTTATTTAAAACATGAGTTTTATTGTGAAGTTGCAAATTAGTATAAAAGATGGTGTCTCTTATATGTGAAAACCCCAGGCAATAATGACCTGAAACCTTCACTCTTGAAGTTTTATTTAAAAGACAATCATTGGCCAGGTTCAGAGGCTCAGCCTGTAATCCCTGCACTTTGGGACACCGAAGCGAGTGGATTGCCTGAGCCCACGGGTTCGAGACCAGCCTGGGCAACTTGGCAAGACTTCGACTCTACAATAAATAAAAAATTAGCCAGTCATGGTAGAGTGCATCTATAGTCCCGACTACTTGGAAGGCTGAGGCAGAAGGATCGCCAGAGCCCAGCAGGTTGATGCTAGGGTGACCATGAGCGTTCCCCTGCACTCTAGTCTGGGTGACAGAATGAGACTCCAACTCAAAGTAATTAATTAATTAAATCTAAAAAAAAGACAGTTATACAGCAATACAATAATAGTAGGGTTCCTCAGCACCCTACTTTCCAGCAATGGACAGAACGTCAGACAGCAAGTTAACGAAGAAACATCAGTTAAATAACATTCCAGACCAAATGGATCTAACAGTCATTTATAGAGCATTCCACCCAATAGCTGAAGAATACACATTCTTCTCATCAACAAATGGAACTTTCTCTAGGATAGATCATGTGTTAGGCTACAAAACAAGTCTCGACAAAAATATTTTTTAAATTGAACTTATGTCAGGTATATTTTCTGAACACAATGGAATAAAACTAGAAATCAATAAAAAGAACTTTAGAAACTATGCAAATACATGGAAATTAAACAACATATTATTAATGAATGGGTCAATGGAGAAATTAAAAACGAAATATTTCTTGGGACCAATAGAAATGGAAACACAACATACCAAAACCTATGAGATACAGCAAAAGCAGTTCTAAGAAGTTTATATAATAAATGCCTACATAAAAAAACTAGAAATACCTTAAATAAACTACCTAAGATTACACCTCAAGAAATAAAACTACCAAAGAAATAAAACACCTAAAAATGAATTTCACCAAGGAAGTGAAAGATCTCTACAATGAAAACTATAAAACATTAATGAAACAAATTGATGAGGACACAAATAAATGAAAAGATATTTCATATTCATGAATTGAAAGAATACGTTAAACTGTCCATACTACCCAAAGTTGTCTACAAGTTCAATGCAATTCCTATCAAAATACTAATGACATTCTTCACAAAAATATTTTTAAAATCCTAAAATGTAATAGAATCACAAAAGGCTCCAAACAGTCAAAACAATCTTGAGCAAAACTAAAAAACTAGGGGCATATACTACCTGACATTGGTCTGGGTGAGGATTTATGGATAAGACTTCAGAAGCACAGGCAACAAAAGCAAAAATACATAAATGGTATTACATCTAACTAAAAACTTTTGCACAACAAAGGAAATAATTATTGGAGTGAAAAGGGCCAGGCAGAGTCGCTCATGCCTGTAATTCCATCACTTTGGGAGGCCAAGGCAGGGAATTGCTTGTAGCCCAGGAGTTCAAGACCAGCCCAGGCAACATAATAAGACCTTGTCTCTACAAAAAAATCAAAAAAAGTGTGCCTATAGTCCCAGCTTCTCAGGAGGCTGAGGCAGAAGGATCACCTGAGCCCAGGAGTTCAAGGCTGTGGTGAGGCATGATCATGCTACTGCACTCCAGCCTGGGCAACAGAGTGAGACCCCAACTTAAAAAAAATTATAAATGTAAAATATTTTACTATGTTATTTAATAATGCATTTTAAGCACATACCTATGTGTACTTAATAGACACATCATATATACATAAATATAGATAGACATATACTACACATTTTATCCTTAAAGAACAGTAGTGTTTAGTATACATTTAATCACAGCAGTCCTTTCACTATAATGTGAATGAGGTAAAAAAAAAAAAAAAAAGAAATGGCTTCCTGCTTGCTGGGGCCACTGTGCGGAGTTTGCACCTGCTCTCCATTTCTGTATGGATTTTTTTTTTTTTTTTTTGAGTACTGTGATTTCCTCCCCCTGCCCAAAAATGTGCATGTTGGGTGAACTGGTATGTCTACATGGTCCCAGTATGGATGTGAATGAATGTGTGTGAGCGCACCCTGGCATGAGATGGCGTCCCATTCAGGGCTGGCCCCTGCCTGGTGCCCTAAGCTGCCAGGAAAGACTCCAGCCACTTGTGGCCCTAAACTGGAATAAGTGTGTTGGAAAAGGAAGAAATGAATAAATACAAATGATTGTCAAGTAAAAATTTTTAAGTTGTGTAATAATCAAACAAATGCATGACAGTAAACTGCAGTGTAAAAACCCTTCTGAAGCCCTTGAGATGTGTCATTGTTTGTTTTTGAGCTGCATGGTAATAAGAGGTACTCTTATGATTTTCACTTGGCAAACACTTAACTCCTTTATTTAATCCACCACCACTATGACAGCCATCACTCACCAATGCATCAAAAATAGGGTAGCCACACACAGTGGTTCACACCTGTATCCCCAGCACTTTGGGAGGCAGTGGCAAGAGGATTGTCTGAGCCCAGGGATTTAAAACCAGCCTGAGCAACTTGATGAGACTTCGACTCTACAATAAATCAAAAAATTACCTGGTATGGCCATGATCACTTGTGGTTGCAGTTACTTGGATAAGGTGGAAGGATCAACTGAGCCCAACAGGTCGAGGCTGTGGTGGTTGTGAGAATGCCACTGCCCTCCAGCCTGACTGACAGAGTGAGACTCTGACTCAAAAAAAAAGTAATTATGTTACTTATTTTTATTAACTTTTCTTAAATGTATGTATAGCTCACATTTATTTCGATATTTAATATTAGAAGTGTTTTTGGTCTTTACTTAGATGTTTGGTGATGTTTTTGTGACCAGAAATATGCTGTAGAAACTTAACCTTGTTTATATCAATTAGCATATGGTAAAATTGCTCTCCTTGTATGTTATTTCGCTTAAAGTCACAGTTTCCAATAACCTATCAGCAATACCAAGTGAGTACCCCATGTATAATAATAAAAGCTAACATTCGTTGTGATAAGTCCTTTATATGATTGATTGTATTTAATTGTTACAGCAACATTATGGGGTGAGTACCATTGCTGTCACCATGTCACATAAGAGGTAACTTAATCATATATTCGTGGGTCATTTCTAATCCTTCTATATTTTAGGAGAATTGGGAGCTGGTGAAAAGTCCCAAATCACCTGGTCTTCTGGCTGAGTTCCACTATCAGAACACCCAAGTGGAATGACACCTTAGTGTGAGTTGTGGTCTGTGGAAGTCTCCTAAGAGCCTGTGTTATGCCCCCATTAGGTATATCAGGATTGGAGATAAAGAATGTGAATTCAACAAGAACTTCCGACTTATCCTTCACACAAAGCTGGCAAACCCTCACTATAAGCCGGAGTTACAAGCTCAGATGACTCTGCTCAATTTCACAGTCACAGAAGATGGCCTGGAAGCCCAGCTGCTGGCAGAGGTTGTTAGTATTGAAAGGCCAGATTTGGAAAAACTGAAGGTAAAAATGGTTGAATCACCCACCAACACTTCTTCAGCACTTGCTTTGCACAACTCTAGTGTGAGATACAGGATTCTTGCCCTCAAGGATTCTGCAATCCAACTGAGAGAAATGAGTATACATGTGAAAAGTTAAACAATCCGAGGCTGCTTCTTTTTTTTCTTTATTTTTGTTTTTATTTTAAAGATATGGGGTACAGTTCAGGGTTAGATACATATGTGATCATCGTACAGGTAAAGTTTGGGTACCCTTATTAATGTTATGTATTCCGCCTCCCTCTCCTAACAGTGTCCCACTACTGCCAATCTCTTCCTTATAGTATTATGATAAATGTTCAGGGTCCTCTTATAAATGATTACATGTAGTACTCAGATCTTAGTTTCTGTGATAAATCATTGAGTGTGATAGACTCTAAATCCATCCAAGTTGCTGCGAAGTCCATAATTTTGTCCTTCTTTATGGCTGCATAATTTTCCATCATGTATGCGTTCCAGATTTTCTTTATCCAGTTCACTTTCTATGGGCAGCACGGTTGGCTGCATATTTTTGCTACTGTAGCTAGTGCTGCAATAAACATGCGTGTGCAGGTATCTTTTTTATAGAGTAACTAGAGTTCGTTTTAAAAGTGGACAAAAAGCCAGGCTCGGTGGCTCAGCCTACAATCCTGCGCTTTGGGAGGCTGAGGTGAGTTGACTGCCTGAACCCGCAGGTTCGAGACCTGCCTGGGCAACTTGGCTAGACCTCATCTCTACAATAAATCAAAAAATTAGCTGGACGTGGTAGTGCACGCCTGTATTTCCAGCTACTGGAAGGCTGAGGCGGAAGGATTGCTGGAGCCCAGCAGGTTGAGGCTGCGGTGGCCGGGTGCGGCCACTGCACTCCAGTCTGGGTGACAGATTGAGACTCCAACTCAAAAAATAAAAATAAAAAAAAAAAACAAAAGAAAAGTGGACAAAAGATATGAATAGACACTTCTCAGAAGAAGACATACTAGCAGCCAACAGATATATGAAAAAATGCTCAGCCTCAGTAATCATCAAAGCAATGCAAATTAAAACCACACTGAGACCACCTAACTCCGTCAGGAAGGCCATCATCAATAACTCAAAAAACAACCTGTTCATTAAAATACAGCCATAGGGCAACCTCTTCAGGACCCCTCCCAATGTGGGAGCTTTTCTGTCCTCAATAAATGCTGCTTTCTCAAAAAAAAAAAAACCTCAGCCATGCTCAGACATCTATCTGCCTATGGTCTCTGACTGCTTTTGCACTACAGTGGCGGAGTTGAGTAATTGCAACAGAGATCCTGTGGCCTGGGAAGCCAAAAATATTTACTATCTGGACCTTTCCAGAAAAAGTTTGCCACCCCTAGTGTAAATCAATTGTTCTCAAACTGTGGGTCCTAGAACTGCAGCGTCAGTATCATCTGGGAATATCTATGAATGCAGATTCTCAGGTCACACCCCAGATCCTTCTGGACAAGAAATCTGGAGGTGGGTCCAGCAGTCATGTCTTACCAGGCCATGCCAGCGATCTGATCCATGCTCAGACTCTGTATGAGACTGCTTTCACTTGGATTTGCTACTGAACCAGTCCAGAAGCTGGTGAGACAGCCGCAAGGTCAAGACTGAATTTGAGAGGGCATGGTTCCCTGAGGCTTTTTTCCACATGTGCTCACATTCAGTAGAATTACAACATGCCAAGAGTGAATGGTCCACCAGGTCAGGGTTCAAAGGACCACCGACTTGTAACTACCAAGCTAGATAGGGACCAAGTCTGTAATCGAGGCACCATAGGACCATATAAGAAAATCATTTTTCATGGAAACATGCTTATACATTTTTTTCCTTTTTCCAAAAGGCTTGGCAATTTGATAAGTTTATTTATTTGATTTTACTCTTGATAATGAAATCATTTAAATATATGATATAAAATAGTTATAAGCCCCCATGTAACAATTATCCAGATTCAACAATTATCTACATATTTCCTCTTCCTCTGACATTTCTATCTGAAGTCATTTTTAACGTTTTGTTGCTTAATTAATTTTTATTGTTTGTTATTTATTATTAAGTTGCAAAAGTATTACAGAGAGTTTCTGTATACCCATAGCCCAGTTTCAGTTTCTCCTAATGCTTTTTTTGTGTGTGTTTTTTTTTTTTTTTTTTTTTTAGTTGGAGTCTTAGTCTGTCGCCCAGACTGGAGCGCAGTAGCCGCTCCCGGCCACCACAGCCTCAACCTGCTGGGCTCCGGGGATCCCTCCGCCTCAGCCTTCCAAGTAGCTGGAACTATAGGCGCGCGCTACCACACCCAGCTGATTTTTTTATTTATTGTAGAGATGAGGTCTCACCAAGTTGTCCAGGTGGGTCTCGAACCTGCAGGCTCAGGTAATCCACTTACCTCGGCCTCCCAAAGCGCTGGGATTACAGGCTGAGCCACCGAGCCCGGCTCTTCTAATGTTTTGTGTGACATAAAAAAATATGGAAAATGGCTGGAGGCCAGGCATAGTGGCTCATGCATGTAAATCCAAACATGTTGGGAGGCCAAGGTGAGAGGATTGCTTGAGCCCAGGAGTTCAAGACTAGCCTGGGCAACACAGCAAGACCTCATCTCTACAAAAAAAAAAAAAAAAACATTAGCCAGATGTGGTGATACCCACCTGTAGTCCCAGTTACTTGGGAGACTGAGGTGGAAGGATAGACTGAATCCAGTTCAAGGCCGTGGTGAGCCATGGTCATGCCACTGCACTCCAGCTTGTATGAGACAGAATGAGACCCCAACTCATAAAATGTATATGTACATATTTAAAATGTTATTCTGCTTTAATGAAACATATTCCTTCAATGCTGTTCATTCAGAAATTGTAGTACTTCTTCCCATTGAGCTTCAATTTATACATCACATAATTCTCCATTTTTAATTGTGTAATCCAGTGATCTTTAAGTCATTCAGAGTATCAATATCAAAACATTTTCATCACCTCAAAAGTAAAATTCACAATCATTAGCTGTTATTCCCTGCTGCACCCTCCCCCGGCAACCATTAGTCTATATTCTGTCTCTATGGATTTGCCTGTTCTGGACATTTCATATAATGAAATCATGAAATATGTGGCATTTTGCATTTGGCTTCTTTTGCTTAGCACATTCTTAAGTTTTACTCCTACTGTAGCATGTATCAGTTCTTCATTCCTGCTTAGGGCCAAATAATCTTTGTATGAATATATACCACATTTTATTTACCACCTCATCAGTTGATAGGCATTCATGTTTCTACTTTGGGGCTATGATGTGTTATGCTGCTATGAACATTCATGTGCAAATGTTTGTGTGGATATGGATTTTCAGTTCTTGGGTATCTACCTAGAAACAGGATTGCTGAGTCTCATGGTAACTCTATGTTTAATCAGTTGAGGAAGTGCCAAACTCTCTTCCAAGTGGCTGCAATATTTTACATTTCCACTAGCTAATCATCATCTTAATGGGTGTGAAGTGGTATCTCATTATGCTTTTCATTTTCATTTTCCTAAAGTCTCATGATGCTGAGCATTTTTTCATATATTTATTGGTCTTTCGTGTATTTTTTTTTTTTTAAGTTGGAGTCTCACTCTGTTGCCCAGGCTGGACTGCAGTGGCATGCTCACAGCCACCACAACCTCAACCTACTGGGCACAGACAGTCCTTCCACCTTAGCCTTCCAGATAGCTGGAACTACAGGTACACATCACCACACCCAGTGAATTTTTTTATTTATTGTAGAGATGCGGTCTCACCAAGTTGCCCAGGCTGGTCTTGAACCCCTGGACTCAGGCATTCCTCTCAACTTGGTCTCCCAAAATGCTGAGATTACAGGCTTGAGCTATCTATTCAAATCCTTTTTCCATTTTTTAAAAAATGGGTTATTCTTATTGTAGGAGTTCTTTATATAGTATGAATATCTTATTGGATAAATGATTTACAAAAATTTTATCCTATTCTGTGATTGTCTTTTCATTTTCCTGATGATGTCCTTTGAAGCACAAAAATTTGTAATTTTGGCGAAGTTCAATTGTCTGTTTTTTCTTTTGGCTTATATTGTGACACAAGCCATGAATATTTTACTCCTATGTTTTCTTCTAGGAGCTGTATAGTTTTTGCTCTTAGACTTTGGTTTGTGGTCTATCTTGAGTTCATTTTTATATGTAACATGAGGTAGGACCAACTTTATTCTTTTGCACAGGATATACAGTTGCCCCAGGAAGGACCATTTGTTGAAAAGACTATCTTTTCTCCCCTGAATTGCCTTTGCTATTTGTAAAAGAGCAGTTGACCATATTTCTGTGGATCTATTTCTGTGCTCTTTATTCTGTTTCATTGATCTATTTGTCTATCCTTTCATCAGTACTAGACAGTCTTGTTTACCGTAGCTTTACAATAAGTCTTGAAGTCAGGTAGTATCAGTTCTCTGACTTTTTTCTTCTGTATTCTGTTGGTGATTCTGGATCTTGTACCTTTCTCTATATATATTAGAATCAGATTTTCAGTATCTACAAAATAATGTGCTGGTATTTTTATTGCTATTATGTTGAATGTCAGAAAGAAATAACTGGTTGTCTTAATAATATTCCTATCCATGAACATGGAATATCTGTCCATTTTTTAGATCTCTGATTTCTTTCATCAGAGTTTTGTAGAGTTTCTCAAATAGATCTTCAACATATTTTGTGAGATTTATACCTAAGGATTACAATTTTGGGATGCTAATGTAAATGATGCTGTATTTTAAATTTCAAATTCCAGTTGTTCTATGCTGCTATATAGAAAAGCAATTGACTTTTGTATATTAATCTGCATCCTACAAACATGCTACGTTTGCTTGTTAGTTGCAGGAAGCCTTATGTCAATTCTTTGGGATTTTCTACATGGACAATTATGTCTTGTGTGAACAAAGACAGGTTTTAATTTTTTCTTTCCCATTCTGTATAACTTTTATTGTCTTATTGTTGGACTTCCAGTACAACA